TAAACGTTTGTTAAAACAAAAAATGTTTTTTAGTTCTTTAAAACATGCTTTATAATATACTTAATTGTTGCTTATGCAAATTATTATTTAATAACTAAACAAAAATCACAAAGAAATGTCGGTTTTCCTCTTCCTGATATGCGACTAACCCCTTAAGGAATACCGATTTAATTTTTTATAAACGGTCAGTTCCATAAATATTCGCACCTTGTATGCCTATTAAGGAAGTCTGTCTAAATTAAAAGATAGGTTTGATAATTTCAAATATTTGTTTCGTTATAAATATTCGTACGTGAATAAATTTTACGCTTGCATGTATTGATAATGAAATATTTATTTGAAAATATCGAGCCTATCATTTAATTTAGACAGATCTCTTTGATAGACAATAGAAGGTATTTACGGGACTGACTGTAAATCGTTTACTTGTCAATTTTGGCATTAGACGTTACGAGGAACCGGTGAAATAATTCCAGCTAACAGGAATTAAATGTAATCGTACGGAAACAGCTTGCCCGACTCAACGGGACCATTTTTGTCGCCCCTAAATTCATTAACGTTTAATTATCCGCTTCGCCGAGGCGTCGCGTTGCAATTTGCCGCATGAAGTACAATCACTACGTTATTAATTCGGTTAAATTTAGTCTGCTCGAATGTACAGTACCATATTCTTTTAACCTTTGACTAAATACTGTACCCATGATGCAAGAGAACATTCTGATTCTTTCTTGTTTCACGTCCCACTTTCAAATTCTAAATATTTCTAAATTTCCATTACAGATAGAAGAATAATCAAAGTGAGGGAAGAATAATTAAATTTTCATCATATATTTCCGACTAATTTTGATCAGATGTTCAACAATAAAATTGCTAGCAAAAGCTCGATCGTTGGACATCCCATTTCTTAGCTCTCTTTCTGCCAATAACTTTAAGGGGGTATCCTGAATTAGGAGGTCTAAAAAAAAGCGGTTTTTCGCGAATTTTTTTAGGATGGAAAAAAATAATTAATTCTATCGAACTTTTTATCCTATTTCCATACATATTCGAGTAGTCTGTACAAAATTTGTCAACATGAAATATTCAAATTGAGTCGACTGCGACGCACATTTGTAGAGCACCTCACAATTAAAACCTCCTATCGGCGGGAAAGATAGTTCACATAGAAGAAAAATGTATGAAAATGAAAATTTCTTTTGGTTTTTTTGTGTCAAACCAATATTACGACCTGCATCTTTCCCGTCGACAAGAGGTTTTAATTGTGAGGTGCTCTACAAATGTGCGTAACAGTCGACTCAATTTCAATATTTCATGTTGAAAAATTTTGTACAGACTACTCGAATATGTATGGAAATAGGATAAAAAGTTCGATAGAATTAATTATTTTTTTCCATCCTAAACAAATTCACGAAAAATCGCTTTTTTTAGACCTCCTAATTCAGGATACCCCCTTAATACGAAAATAAATAAATCACAGTACTGGCAATTAAAACGTATCGCTATTTACTTACTTCAACTTCACTCCAGAGCTCACGCTGCCGGCTTTGATCGATGTTCTTTTCCAACTGGTCAAATTCGCCACATTAACCGTGGTGCTCTTGTCATTGGAGAAGTTTATCAAAAGCGCAACCACTTCGTCGCTGGTGTTTCGAACGACAGCCAGCACGTCATTGTTCACGACGAACGCCGTGGTATTACCGTGTTTGAGCGCAACCGACGAATTTCGTAGACGCGTCAAACTCTTGTAGAGATTGTAATGGGAGTTGGGGTCCTTTTTCTCCTTTTCCAAGTTCAGCTCATGATAATTGGTGTTAACGGGAAGCCATGTTGTTGCGTTTGTACTGAAGCCTGTCGACAGAAGCGTTAATCGAAACTGAGAACGCTAAAACAACTCAGGATTGTGGTTCTATATTAGGTTGTCCCAAAAGTTTCTTTCACTTTACTAACACGTTCGTCGCCACGTTACCCAGAAATGGATGACAGGACTTTCTATTAAGGAACTAAAAAAAATAAATTTCAAAGATCAGACAATAATGAAAGTAAGTCTGGACAGATTTCGTGAGTTTGCCGACGTTAAAAAATTAAAGGCTACGAGAGATGTTAAATTATCTAATCTGCAATAGTCCCGAGACAAAATTTTAAGTGTATCGAAATTTTCACGAGTTTTAGCTTGGCAGCCAACGTGTTAATAAGTAATACATGCACAATAGTCTATGTTTTATGTTACAGTACTGAATTGTCCACGATTCATTTTGCTCCATTACTGTTACAACATGAGCATCTATGAAATTAGATTGTCTATTTATATAAACACGACCACATAACATAATTGTGTGCAACTCGCGTAAGAAACTTTCGGGACAACCTAATACAAGGTGTCCCAGAATTACTGTAAGAACCGGAAATAGGGGGTAGCTGAGACGATTCTGAGCCACAGTTTCCTTTTCAAAAATGCCGAATGGTGCTTCGTTTTTTAATTATTAATCTTTGCTAATTATTGCTCATGATCCTCGTGATCCCTTTGCTCACCTGCTTGTGCACTGTCGTTCCATTGCATCGGGGTGCGGCAGCCATCGCGAAAATCGTATACGCGCAGGGTGCTGTTGTCCACCATCCCGATTTCCTCTCCGTAGTAAGTCACCGCCACTCCGGGCAAAATCATCGCCAACATCGTCATCTGATCCGTCCTTCCAGGGTAACGAGTACCGATACGAGTGCGATCGTGGTTTCCCATCTACCAAAATGTTCAATCTTGTATTGTTTAGGAGCTATCAAATGACTGAATACGGTGTCGATGAAAATAATCCGTGGCATACAGGGTGAGTCACGTAAAAAAGAACACTTGAACACCTGCCTTGGATTTGAAGATACGTGAAGATGTTTGGAACAAAATTTTAAAGGGTATCACAGACCAAATTTGTTACAAGGAAAGCTTTCGTTCCAAGATCATTCTTCTCAAAGTTATGAAATTAATATTAATAACATATTAATTCAGAGCCGGCGTGATCTTTTACGGGGTCGGGTTCAACAATTTTGCGGGACCTGAATTCACATTCAAATCCTACGCTTAAATTTTACAACGAGGAATTATTTATTTACAAATGCTATATATTTTTTATAAGATGAATATTAAGTAATAATACTTTGATGATTTTTGTCACTCATTTCAATTTAATCATCGCTATTAAAAAAATATTTTGCATCTCAGCAAAAATTGCTTCCATTTGTTAATGGTATCATCAGTCTGTAAAAAGTTAATCAAAATCGTTGCCTTTTAATTCAATAATTTTCGTAGACCGCGCGGCCTTTTAAAACGCGGAGCCGGGTTCCGGCGAACGCACTGAACCTGCCTTGCGCCGGCTATGTATTAATTTTATGAAAGTGTTGATCAAGACAAGTGTTGATCAGATCAAGTTGATCTGTGTTAGGTGACTCAGTGTCTATAGTACTGTTTAATAATTAGTATTACAAATTGTGGACACTACCAACAATTCCTAAAAAGGTACAGAATACGTATTCATTCAGTATCCAGAATAAGATGTCGATGGAAATAATTGGATACTATAAAATACTTTGTAATAATTGGATGCTACAAGAATGTCTATAATAACTAACACTACAAATTGTGGATACATACCACCCAATTGGGGGCGAAGCCAGTGGGGGTGGAACTTATCCAGTGATCTATGATCTCCTTGAAGTCAGCGGCAGTGGAGTTGCTGTTCACGTTCGTTATGAATTTAAAGTTGAATGGAACGTTCGAGCCATATTTGTAATACTTGATTGTGTTATCCCAACCGGTGTATGCCTCTGTCAGTAACACCTGGAACGAACAATGAAATGATACGAACGATGTTTTGAGTAAGTCCCACTACTTTTTCTCTAATCCGGATGAAATTTTGTTTGGATGCTCCATAAGAACAATTATTATTAAACAGAGTGTCTCTATTACTCGGGGAAGATGACAGAGGACCCTTCTATTAGGTTCTCCCGAAAGTTTCTTTCGCGAGTTACACTCAATTATTTTATGTGGTCGTGTTTATATAAATAGACAATCTAATTTCATAGATATTCATGTTTGTAACAGTAATGGAGCAAAATGAATCGTGCACAATTCAGTAATGTAACATCAAACATAAGCTATTGTGCATGTATTACTTCTTAATGAAGCGAAAGAAACTTTTGGGACAACCTAATATGATCCTGAATTAATCAAAATCAAATTTAGAATTTCTAAAGTTCCGAATAATGAATGAAATTCAAATAAATCTGGTAATTAACGAAACGAGGGTGGTATATACATATACTATTTCTAATAATATTGTTAGGAATGTATACTACTGTAGAGTTTGGTATCCTTGAATTACATAAATAGCCAATCTCATTTCATAGATATTCATGTTTGTAACAGCAATGGAGCAAAATGAATCATGCACAATTCAGTAATGTAACATAATACATAAGCTATCGTGCATGTATTACTTATTAACACGTTGATCACCCATATATGGGTGACAGTGCTTTTCACTGAAAAACGAAAACTATTAATTCTGAAAGTTAAGTGTCATAGAAAATGAATTTATATAAATGTTTCATTACACAGTTTCCAAAAGTCTGTAAACAAAATTAAATCGCAGTAGAAATTTTCAAGAGTATTAGTCTGGCAGTGAACGTGTTAATAAAGCGAAAGAAACTTTTAGGACAACCTAATATTATTAAATCCGATATATCTGACTAAAAATACGAAAATGTCCTGGCGAACATCCTTACCTTTTCATCCTGGTTGAGTTCGTCAGCGTACTTGTCCACGAATTCCCGCCAGTTTTGTATCAGATCGTACGTTTGAGGTTGATCCTTCGTATAGATGTGACTCAAATAAGTATACTCGGATGAATTCTTGCTTAAATAACTCGGAGGCTCGTCTTTGTCTATGTTACTCTCGAATATATGCGGCACAGCGTCGATACGGAAACCGTCTATCCCCATGTCCAACCAATACTTTATTACATCCTGGAAAACGAAACGTTGAGTTTGGGAGCAGGTTTCGCGTTGAATTTTGAGAGGTGTTGCCGTACCTTCATCTCTTCCTGCACGGCGGGATTGGTGTAATTCAAATCGGGTTGCTCCTTGTAGAATTGGTGAAAGTACCATTCCTTTCGCGCTTCGTTGAACGTCCAACCTGATCCATTGAATACACTTAACCAGTTGTTTGGTGGCAATTTAGTATTCTTCCACATGTAATAATCGGCGTACTTGCTCGTTTTATTTAAGCTCTTTAGGAACCACTCATGTTTGTCGGAAGTATGATTAGGAACGAGATCCAGGACAACCTGAGAATCGAAAGGAAACTCGTTTGTGTGCTTCCATCTAGGTGATCTAGATCTAATCTCGTTAGATAGGGACAAGTCTATCTCTGAAGATATCAAGCAGACATCTATCTTTATTTATCTATCTTTTTTTTATCTATCTATCTATCTTCTTTTTTTTAGCTCTATCTTTGACCATGTTAAATAGGACCAAGTTCACGTCTGACTGTGTTAGGAAAGGGTCAAGTCCACATATAACAGCGACAGACAAGGTCTAGCCTACTTCTGACCAAATCAGATAGGGTCTAGTTTACATGTGACTATCTAATTTGGGCAACAAGACCCAAGTAAATGATATACGCGAGATTTTGGTTCAAACTAAAAGTTAAATGCTTTTTAACGCGATCTGAAATTTAATGATTGCGTTCTAAATTATCGTGGTCAATTAATTGTTACTTCGTCATAGAATTTTGAATAATCGTGAAATAAAATAAATCGCTGTACCTTTAAGGCGAGTTCTTTAGCGCGGGCTATAAGTGCCTTCAAGTCGTCCAACGTGCCAAAAGTTTTGTCAATACTACGGAAATCTTCTATGTCGTATCCGAAATCAACCATGGGGCTCTTATAGATCGGCGACAGCCAGATGGCTCCTATTCCAGCGTCCTTGATGTGGTCCAGCTTACTCGTTATGCCTACCGAGTTTAAAAACAGCTTCAAACAAATGGAAACGTGCTATAAGCGTAGAATTAAATTCCATTTTTAACGCTTCCCTTTTCTTCATATAAATTCTATACTTTTGCGCTGTGTTTAAATAAATCATTCGATGCTTCCATTGTAAGAACAACAACCTTTTCCTTTAAACGACAGACGGAATATATTCACTATAAGATTGAAATAATTAATAAAATGAATTGCATTTCTAAACTCTACTGCGCCGTTCTAAAATTATTGAAGACATTACTCAGCATTCTATATTTTAATTGAAATTAACGTAATACGTAGTCATTCATCGAACGTGACCAGTTTCGTCAAACGATGCTTTCAGTTGTTTGCAACGATCGCGAAACTCGTTCGACGCAAAGTTGTTCAATTTTTCTTGAACGTCTCTGAGGATCTGTTGTTACGTGCACTGATTGTTGCTATGTGCAGCCGTTCGATGCATTATCGAGTCCCATATGCCGATAAACTCGAATATCTGGATCAAATCCGTATAAGTATCGCGAACGTGAAAGGGTTTGATGAATTTGATGGGGCGTGTACGAATCTACTTACTACGTTTTCAAGCTAATAATGAAATACTCTGACAGGGTACACAGTCTTATTTTGTATTTTTTTTTTTATTATACTATCTCGCATTAGCTATATTAATATGCATATAATCATTTCTGTTACAGGTAAGTCAGGAGGCTCATTCTCTTTTGAAGTATACCCAACGACATTCCCAGGCCTTTTTGTGCTAATTAACGTGAGTAATTAGCTGAAAATGGAGTTCGTATTTTCCTATCTATTTTGATATATTCCTACGTTCCTTATCGTATGTTATATATTATAGGGATATACATATGTTCCTTGTACAGGATAAATATCTAGAGACATATACATGTATTAGTATATTATATATTCATATATTAATTACTTAATAAGGGCTACTTTTGAGAATCTCGTCTAATTTTATATTAAACCCGTCCTACGAATTCGAAACAACCATTTAATCGCGAACGAACAGGTAAACACTGCCTGCGGGTTACATCACCTCCATCAAAAGAGGAAGCAGGATGTCAGAAGCGTAATTATACATTACACTCCCGATGTTCCTCGAGTGATGTAATTCTCACACCACGAGGAAGCAAAAGAAAATCATATAAATAATTACTTCAGCGAAGACGATTCCTCGTGCTTCGAATGAAAAATTCTTTCTCGTAATGCAACTGTTTCAACAAGTTGCTTCAAAAGGCATAAGAAAGTTGTTGACACTGTTTCTGTATATGTGTTGGGTTTCATATTGAATAGAAGAAATTTCAATTTTAATTAAAAGCTACTAATTATAGTTAAAAGCTACTTCCTGTTATAATATATCAATTATATTATATTATACTTAATTTTAGTTTCCAAACACAGTAAAGACTCGCAAAATGGCACCCCGTTCTTCCAAACAATTTGCGTTTCAATAAATCATAACAACAAGCAGCTCCTGACTGTAAAGAACCGCCTAGTAAAAATTTCTTTGAAATAAATTTTCTACTACAAGAACCCGTATGTACTTTCCGAAACAATGATTCTTAAAATAGCGCACTGTGTACTGTGTCCAACATCCACGTCCCCTGGATCGTCTAACTCGAGGTCGAAATCGCGAAAACCGAGGGAAAAAATAAATTCGCGATCCAGGTACCCCGTGTCCTACCTTTCAGATCCCCTATTCCATCGCCATCAGAGTCCATAAAGCTCCTAGGGTATATTTGGTAGAAGACCGTCGATTTCCACCAGTCCTTGTTGAGGATCTTGGCGGAAGTCAGCGCGACCGCCGCCAGCAGGAGGATGACAATGTGACCGGTGCTCTTCATGATTACAATAACGCAGCGCGCGATCGCGATGCCCATTTATATGGGATGTTCGACGGTAAAAAAGAACAACGTTATCGTTCGAGCACGGAATAAGTCGCGAGCGATAAGGACGCGTCGCTGACAAAGTCTCAGCGACGCGACTCTGTGGCCTGTGTTGTCCTGATAGTCCGAGAGCCCGCGACATAAAATTTCGGCCAATTTCATTACAAAATATCCTTTTGCTATTTGACTGTTTTCTACTAAAGAATAAAAATAATCCAAGGCTGGCAGAGCACAAACGGTGCACCGCTCCGCTAGAAAGTCGGAAACATGTAAGAAATAACAGTATCTTTGACTGTAATCATTATTACTGAAATTTTTAGAATGTATTGTTGACATACCAAATTGCATAAAAAAGTTGGTCTGGCAGATTGTAAGCGGTGCTAAATGGGTCTGGCAGTCGGAAAACTTTGTCGGAAAAACGAAGTAGTATGGCTGAAATCATTGTTTCTGAAACTTTTTGTATAAACAATATGTAATACATAGGGTTAAAAAAATGTAGTCTGGCAAACTTTGAGTGGTGATAAATCGGTCTGGCAGCCGTTTAAAAGAGTAAACACATATGCGCGCCGTGCAATTTCATGACTAATTATTGAAGTTAAATAATAATAATAATTATATAAAATAAAAATCATCACAGCAATATTTTATACATAACTAATGTATATAATGTTTCAAAATAATTATTACTTTATAGTTTTATTAGATTATCGAGAACTCAACGCCGGTAACGCTTGTGTGTTCGTTCTTTTAAACGGCTGCCAGACCGATTTAACACTACTCAAAGTTTGCCAGACCAAATTTTTTTAACCCCATGTATTACATATTGTTTATACAAAAACTTTCAGAAACAATGATTTCAGTCATACTACTTCGTTTTTCCGACAAAGTTTTCCGACTGCCAGACCCATTTAGCACCGCTTAAAATCTGCCAGACCAACTTTTTTATGCAATTTGGTATGTCAACAATACACGCTAAAAATTTCAGTAGTAATGATTTTGGCGAAAAATCAAATTATTATATAATGAGGCATAGTGAAGCGTTACACCACTGAATTCATGCCAGACCAAGCATTTCTGAACTAGGGAGACATACCATCTTCGGAAAACAGGTTCATTTGTGTAATGAAATGAGTCACCCATTTCTGTCGCGAGCTCTCGGACTATGATGAATTAGGGGAGGCACCTCTTCATGTGCCAACTCTTTCCTTAAGGTTAGGTAGACTTTAGGTAGACTTCATTGATCCTCGAAGGGGTAACAGCAATGTCCATGGATAGGCTCCCAAGTATTAGCTTGTCTCAAAAGTTTCTTTCGCTTTATTAATAAGTAATACATGCACAATATTTTATGTTTTATGTTACATTACTGAATTGTGCACGATTTATTTTGCTCCATTACTGTTACAACATGGATATCTATGAAATTAGATTGTCTAATTATATAAACACTGCCACACAAAATAATTGAGTGCAAAATACGAAAGAAACTTTTGGGACAGCCTAATATTAATTTCTTCTTGGAAGTTACGCTATTATCAGACGGTAACAATTGCTTCGATAGGATGTCTCGAAGGAACCGTTACGTCTCGTGTCAAGAAATCACAAACTTCCTTGGTTAAACGGAAGTTGGAGTAGACGTTGACGTCTCCGCAAACTTTCAATTCTAGAGTATGGTACCAAGGTTGAGATTCAGAATTCTCTATACATTTCGTTACGAAACGAACCTGGTAAACACTTGAAGACAGAGCTCTCTCAATGACAAATTAGACTTTATGCTCATGCCATCTTTGAAAAAATGAACTCACCCGTTCGAAAGTAACATTTTACCCAGCGAACGCCGAATAAATTCATTTCAATTTCATTTCAATTTCATTTAGAATTTTCACGATCCTGGTGGACAAATATTAAATCTCTCTTTAATAATATATTTAATAAATAATCATTTAAAATAATAATAGAGAATAATAAGTATAAACTAAATGATTAGATCTGGGTTAGGTCAATCATTTTACAGGTATCCTTGTTCCTCGTTAATTGGAATGATATGAATTTCACCGAAAACAATGTAAAATAAATTCCCATGCATGGTCTTTAACGATCAGGCATAATTTTCCTCGTAAATAATAATCAGGCAACTTCTCTACACTTGTACAACATAATGACACATCTCGACTGCAAAATCCCACAACACTCTGCATAAAACACAACTGCCAGGCAAGTTTCGGGACAACCTAATACTTCGCGTACTCTTTAAGTGTAAAATGGAAGACAATACCAGATTATTAAATATTTATTTTAAATGATAGCACAGTTCTGACTCTTTGGTGTTTATTCTGGAATTGTTCCCAAGGGAGAACCTTCGACTCTCTATCTCATATATACTAGATGTGGAAGTTAATTCTGTGCCTTCGTATTCAATCAAATATTATTCATCTATTACGTATCTCTTTTGTAACTCCAAGTAGAAATGTTTACTCATCGTTTTATTACGTTATCAACCTTCTAAGTCCCCGAGCAACCTAAGACTCAACCCAATGGCCATTCAATTTACCTATATACACCAAGTTCAATAGCCATCGACTTATTGTTCTTCTTCTAACAGATCCAAGTATTTATAACAATTTATAGCGCCCAGTTATAACAATTGTAGAAGAATAATAATAAAGCCTCCAACTGAAATGTCATCGTTCCTGATTTTCATTTTATTTCTGCCCGGAGAAACGCCTCCTAACAGCAGTCGAAATAAAGTCGATACCAGGGATAAAAATTCCGAACAGAAGCGAAATAAAAAGCATCTTCCCGCGGAACAAATCGTCCAAAGGAAAACTCGGATGCAACTTGGCGCAAACAAAGTTAGGATCACTCGACTGTTCAAACAATATATGTATCTCTTCGCGTGCCCCTCCTCCCCATCCAGTTCCACGGTCGAAGGAGGCGACCTTTGCGAAATTTTAACGCGCAAACTTTCCCCGCGGAGTTTCCACGCTGGAATATCCACGGCAACACCGGTCGCCGTATCCCCTTATCGCGGAATATCGGGTACAGATTAGATTCGATGACAGCTGTTGCAGCGAATTTCGTCGATTACCGAGATGAACGGGTCGGAATCATTTCTACGAGTGACGTCGAAAGGTACACGAGCACTGGCGAATATATGAGCTCCGTGCCACAACGCGTATTTTAACATCTTAATATTGCTAGTAGATTGCTGATTTTATGCATTTACGGTCCACACCGATAACGATAACGTACAAAAACTGTATGCGATGCACGTAGAATATATTCTATTAGCTAATGTAATATAATATATGAATTTACGATTGTTAGACTAAACGTAATTTAATCTAAAATGTAAAAATTTTATTTAAATCATACATGATTCAATTCAATTCATTACAATTTAATTGAAATTAATTTAAATTTGTAACATCGATCAATGATATATTAATATTTTGGTGCATGTACCTTTTCGTTGCGTTTACCATATACAGTGGGTGTAAAATGTATTCGTACATCGATCAATTTCCCAAAAAACTTTTGTGTGAAATTGTAGTTTCTTAACTTCCTTTTTTATAGTCAATGGTATTTTATTAGGTTGTCCGAAAAGTTTCTTTCGTCAGTTGTATTCAATTGTTTTCTGTGACAGTGTTTATATAAATAGACAATCTAATTTCTTAGACATTGACGCTGTAACAGTAATAGAGCGAAATGAATTGTACACAATTTTCTAATGTAACATAAAACATAAAATATTGTGTATGAATTAATTATTAATAAAACGAAAGAAACTTTTGGCACAACCTAATACATATTCTTGGAAATCTCTAAGATAGATGTAGTCCAAACAACATTTACTAGTTAATAATAATTTGTGAAATTAACAAACAAAAAATGCGAAAAGTGGGTAAAAGTATAGAAGCAATCAGTATTTGTACGATTCTTATGACGAACTATTTACAGTAGAGTTTCTAACGTAAACACATTAGTTCATTGCTCCGTACGAATTAGAAAACATCAAATTTCCAGGAAAGTACTTTTAAACAGTTGTGCGAATACTTATTGCTTTCTATCGATTAATTGTTTTTTTCTTGTTACTTTCGCAACTTACATAAATAGTTATTTTTTTTTTGTAATCTATCTATTCTAAAGATTTCGTAGAACACGTAGAATGTCATTGTTTATAAAAAATAAGTTAATAAATTACAATTTTACACAGTTTTCTTGGAAATTGATCGGTGTACGAAGACTTTCTACACCCACTGTATTTGTCATAATTAATCATCATGAATGCATAAAATCCGCAGTATAGTTATTAGTTTCGCTGTTGCTACTGGATGATATCGTTACCGCAATAAACTTGTTGATTTTCTTTCTTGGACAATGGGTTATCTTTTCCTCTGAAAAATAGTCATCGGTAGCCTACGTGCTGGTCAACAAGATTGCCAAGGAATGATACCTGGCGTCACTGTGGAACAATTCGTGAAACGCAGCTCAAAGGTAATGACCTTAAACTCCAGAGTTCTGACTAATAAAAATATCTGACTGAATACCGTTGAATTATTTAGAGTCACAACCGTAAGAAATTCAATCGATTAATACAAAGTAAGAAATTTATATTTTCACCAGATTTCATCCCTTACTTATTGCTCAAATAAAATTCTGCCCACTCTGATGATTCTTTTTTCACTATTATCAAATTACCCGTTTATCGAAACATGTCGTTTCTTTCATTAAAAAAAAAAAAATGATACTCCTTCCAAGCAAATAAGAACAGTAAGTTATAAATAGAAATGTGTCTACTAGCGATAAATAATTGGAATTTCCTTTAATCGCTCGTATAATTGCATTTTTAATAAAAAGAACGTGTAAAAAGTTAATAGCTTCGTTAAGTTCGTAAACTCTTATCGTCGCGTATTAGAATAATTGCCAGTAAGCGGGTGGCTAATGAACAACGGCCTTCCGACACAAAACTCGCGGTTCAAATTATTTTAAAGATAGTTCTTCGTATGTATGTATATTTATATGATATGTCGCGTTCGGCGAAACGAGGTATGCGCCAAACGAAGAATGCAAACATTCGCAATCTTATCGATACTTTCATTGTGATACCAAAGCCTGCATTAACGAACGATTCATATTTGTTAGTGTATACATCGCGCTTTCATGAGTGCCGTAGTCACGGATTGCACGATTATGATCCACGGAATACTGCATCGCCCTGTGATGAATATGTTATGCAATCATTACGAAACAGAGAGCGTAATCTTGTTATTCAAAATGAAATTTAGGCAAAATATTAGTTTCATGTTTCATCTCTGGTGAATAAGATTTAATTTCTCGTTTTCTGTACGAACGGTCGCGCGTATTTAATTACTTTGTCGAACTAGTTGGGTAACAATTTACATTGTGTTACATGGAAAGTATCATTTCAATGGACAAATAATTTCAACGCATTTTATATGCAAGGAAACAAATTGAACAATTGTCTACTGCTGGTGACTCCAATGTTTGGGTCGATATCTCGGTCACTGTCGATCCTATCGAAAATTGACATGGAACAAAATCGATTCAATATTTTCTTTAAAACAACTTTTGTAATATCCATTTTTTCAGTAGGAGTAACGATAGACGAGATATCGTGTATCTCTGAGTGTCATACTTTACACGCTGACTGACGTTCAGCAATTATCCGGTTTGTTAACGATTTCATCGAATTGTCACCGCTTCGATACTTTTCTAATTGTCAAGATATCATTGATACAATAAAAGAAATTGTTAGTACGTTGGATTCCATTTGTTCTTCGGTATCAGATACGCTATCTATTAGCGACTAGTTTCAACGTGATTATTTTTAATAATAATTCATTTTGCGTTAAGCGTTCCAATTATTTTCATGTTTTTCTATTAAATTTTAATGTTTAAATTAATCTAGTAGCACAGAATTATTTCCAGTATGAACAAACACGATAAACTGGCGTATTAGAACTCGACACGAATTCTCAATGGACCTATTTTGAAAATATCAAGGAAACAGGAACAATAAAAGGGCTGGATTCGCGGAAAGTAGTTCGACTACGTGAACGCGACTTACCACTAGCCAAATATGCAAAGTTTCGTCAAAATGGGAAGGAGGTCGCTGTTTTGACACTTCGAGAAAAATCATTTTACGCAGTCCTGCGAAATACGGGTCACTGGAAGTTTGCGAAGTCGTGAACATTTTCCAATTCGAATTCGTGCGCTTTAAGTCCGTCAGAAAGCCGTTCTTTCCTCGCGTCGAGGCGCCCACCTACGAATACCCAATTCTGCTCGTTGTCGCCCGGTCTGCATCGGAAATGAACCTCGAACGAGATGGTTAACGGGTAGCAATCGGTCCAGGAACGAAAATACTGATACTTTCGTAACCCAGTTTGTCGCAGTTCTACGTAACGAATTAAACTGTTCACCTACGTCAATATTTCCCTGGGGCTGCAATTATTCTTTTTCAATAATTTAACTACGAACAGAGAAATCACAATTCGACATTTCAAGATTCTGTGGCAAACCAGTAATGAGATATTGAGAAAACGAAAGGTTGGCATACTTGCATTCATACATACACATACACGCGTGCAAACTGAATATGTCTCGAAAATTTAATAGCATTAATGTCCAGGCTAATTTTTGAGATAAATTACTTCTGAGATACGAGAGAAATCAAACAGTAATATGCGCTCAAACATACACATGTACATGCAAACTGAATTTTCAATCATTTAATAGCCTGTATGCCTCGGTATAATTTCACGATTTTCTTAAATAAATTACTTTTAAGATCAAGCCAAACAGGGACAAACAGGGACAAACATAAACCAACCAACCAACAGCATCAATACCAACATAGAGAATCACTGCTTGAAATTTTCCAATTTCCTGCTAAATCGCTCCTGCAATACAAACATACGTAACAATCGACGTAATCGTCGAGCGAGAGTACGTGAAAAGTGAGCGCCATGCCTCGGGACCTTTCCCTCGTGAAAGACAGCCGTCGAATTGCTCGTAGCTCGCGATACGCGATCGCGACCTTTCACTTTTCCCCCCAAAAGTAGAGCTGGCCTAAAGAGCGACGATTGATGGAATCTGTTTCGTCTGGACGTATTGGGTTGACGCGACGGCCACGTCAATCCCCGTGCCAATTATAATCGTTGCTGAATCTGGGATGTCCACGCCAGATCCCATGCTCCCGGCAACGACCAGGCCTTCGCTTCGAATCTCACTCGTCAACTTTCCAAACTCTTTCGTGGCCGCTCGAAAGGCGGACAGCTGCTTTCTAGTATTTTACATTCCTGTCTGTTATCGAATATTACACGTGTACCTATCGCCATTGGTCCTGAATCCATCCTCTCCTCTTGCTCCCTTGTATTTCCGTATTATCGCCAGCTGCTTTGAGCCTGCAAGTTAAAAGATCCTACTGGTTAAAAATTACTCCTCTTTCCTTGATAACTTATGCTTTTTAAACGTATCAAAGGTGCTTCGAGTCTACAAGTTGAAAGATTGTCAGGATTTGAACCTCCTTTGATTTCTTGAATTTTTTAATGTTGTCTAGGCGTGTCAATCTGGAAATGAAAAAGAAGAGGAGTTAGAAAAATTCTGTACAAGTAGATATAGATATCTAGAAAATTCTACTTCTTATACTTTTTAATGAATACATCCAAGTGCCTTAAGGGGGTATTATAGTTAAGAAGTTTGTTTTTTCAGTAATTTTTAGGAATCAATTTTGCGAAAACTATCAAACCTACAGTACCAGGGTTTTTTATGCATAATAAAACACATTTCAACTAACAACACAAATTTTTATGAAATACTTCATTGAAATCTATACAAGGTATGCGCTGTTATGCAGATTGTGGCGTGAGACGCTCGTTCAATCGGGCGCACAGGCTGTGGCGGTTCTAGTTGTCTGAGACAGAAAAACAAATTTTTTTTTTCAATCTATATGAATGTAGTTATCGTCTGAACTAGAATTAAGTAAGTACTAAATTTTTTATCGGAATCGCAGCTGTTTGAAAATTAAGGTTTAATTTTCCCGGAAAATTCTCAACTAAAATATGAGAGCAGGGCTAAAATATTCAAGCTATCGGTATAATTCTAATTCAGACCATAGGTGATGGTGCCCTCGAAATGTGTGTAAAACTAGAAGTCAGTCGGTCCAATAGTTTTTGAGAAAAACGTGCGCCCAACTTGAAAAATGTCGTTTCGAGAAAAACGCGTTTAAAGTTTGCTATACATTTAGCACTAATACTGGTGAACAACCTTTAAGCCTCTGTAACTATGAAAGCTCTACGAATTTCAAATCAATATTTCAGAGGCAGTTTCTCAAAATCCCAAATGATAAGAAAATGTAAAAGAGAAAAAATCGAATTGTTGAAGTTTCTAGACTATAATACCCCCTTAATTCTACTAGTCACGAGATCCTCCTGTCAAAAATTCACCCTCTTCTCTTGATTGCTTACATGTTCCAATGTATCCAGGTGTCTTGTGTCTAAAAATGTAAAATAAGAGTGGTTAGAAAGATTCTGTACAAGTAGATACAGGTAGGTAGGAAAACCTACCTGATTGATAAAAAATTGCCCTTCTTGATCTTCTACAATTCTCATATTTACAATAGACCTAGGAGCTTAGAGTCTTGAAACTTAAAAATGGCAGCCTAGAAAAATTTCATCCAGTTATCTCATCTCATCCTCTCTTAATCTCATCCAATTATTTTCTGCGCCAGTGTTTATATAAATAGACAATCTAATTTCTTAGACATTGATGCTGTAACAGTAATGAAGCGAAATAAATCGTACACAGTTCAGTAATGTAACATAAAACATAAAATATTGTATATGAATTAATTATTAATAAAACGAAAGAAACTTTCGGGACAACCTAATACGTCTAGAAAATTTGTAATTTTGAATGTAGTGTACTAACTCCTACATTTTTCGAACGCATTTATTGAATCCCCCTGTATAACCGTGACAGCGATGTGGCTGCAAGAAAGTAGGCAGCAAGGCATGCTTCCGTAGCATAATTGCAGCGATTTATCATGAGTGACGAGATTTATTAGATAAATAAAGTCGTTGCGCAAAAACCGTGCACTTACCAAGTATTAAATCGGATGCGGAGGTGAAGTAATACGGATTCGATTGCCTCGATACCTTATCGAGGGAGCGATAAGCTGGCGTTCCACCGTTTCCGTGTTTTCTTCGCGGTTTATCGCGACGCGACGTAAACAGATGCGCCCTTCGAGGTTTCCCTGAAACTGTAATTAGTAACGATTAGATCGATTAATTATTATTTACTGGTAATTCTTATTGACGAGTGTAAAATTCTTGTGGTTTCGTTTCGCTTCGAAACCCCATGGTGAATTCTTCCAAAGTTCCACTATAGTGACAGTACATAATCAAAGAAGACATTTTTTGATTTTTAACTATTTTTCTTTTGTAGATTACTATTTAAAATCCACCTGATTCTTTTGAATATTTAGCAACAATGCGTCCAAGAGATTTCTGCCTGACAAAAGTGCATTTTAGGTGATCATTAACATTGCTTTACATTAATCACCACGCTTTTGTATATTTTGCATAAAATATTCAACGATTCCTTTATCCCCCTTTGCCTCCTCAAACCGCCTCAATCGAATACCTAATTTGTGCATATTTTATATCTTTAATTTTCCTCCACACCTTTGTACTCTTCTTCAAGCTAATGGACGAAAATGCCTCAAACGAACACCTAATTCTCGTATATTCTATATTTTTAACTATCCCCCTAACTTCACTCGGCTCTTCTGTATGCTAATGTACGAAAATGCCTTAAACACCATATTACACCAAAGCAGCGATGATGAATTTAGTAGCAGGGAGCCAAGGGTAATATCAGCCGGGCCGCAGCAAAAGGATTAAGTACACGGCATCAAGGCGTCAGAAGTGCGCGTGGAAATTTTCTGACAATGAAGCAACTTGAGGAGCTACTATCTCTCACTTAATTATTCGACTAATGCACGAATATTCCCAGGCAGACTGTTCCTCGATAATAGTGCGTTCCGACGCGTTCGAATCATAAGCTCAGTCTTTGGTGCGATTTAACACCGTTCGAACGATGCTCGTCCTAAACATGGACCTCTGTTGGTTCCGAGTGTGCACGTTGAGCTGTTAAAGTTCTGTTCTTGTTCGTTCATGCTTAACATGAGCATTCTGATGTTTCTCGCAATTTTAGAGGCGTGATCCTCTGAAATATGAAAATTTCAGGTGTTCATCTCAGGTGGTGTTGTCCTGCTAGAGTCCTGACAGAGTTCCTGGACAAAAGGATCGAGGGTCAATTAAATACTTCGCACGTGTTTAGTGCGAAGTATACGATAATTCTTTTTCTGTAGAATCAAGCAAGTCAATTGGAACCATCCATATCAAACTTTTATTTGTAATTATTCTTTGCTGCTACCTATAATGACAAAAATTTGGAATTAAGAATGATTGTATCGATAAATTAATTTACCCTGTCTTCGGTATTACCTAGTAAGTATGCTTTATCTAGTATTACTAGTATCAACTATCCGAGTGAATTATTAATCTCCAATCTGCTGTCTCCTAGAGGGTTTTTGTTTCCAAATGAACGTTGTTGGCATGATCGCGTGCCAACTATTCGCTAATTCCATTCAAGTTTCGCGGAAACTTCCTGTTTATAGAAGAAGTTTAACCCACCTGCTGGAATGACTTCATGGATGATAACGCCATTCGACAACAAACAAGCTTGCAAATTAATAGATCCACTTAGAAACTTCTCTCGTAGCTTCTGTAAATCAAACATGTAAGTATGATGTTGGGTACCGAAGTACAGCGGTTAGAACGCCGCGAGTTGCACCAGAACTCGCTGATTTCTACTTGAAACTGGTATAGTATTTGGACTAATCTAAATCCCATAACCATAATTGGTATCGATTTTTTTAACGTTGGTCGTTAAACTTAACGCTTGACCATTTGCATCGTTAATCCTTACGCAATGATTATCCTACAAACTAAAACTGTTTTGTAGAAATTAAATCATTATTTTTCAAACTGAGAATCACTATCGGTGATGAAATATTTCAACGAGAGCCTAATTAAAAATTTTAGTACGATAGCGCGAGCACAGTTGTTCATGAATATCACTTCCCAGATTATCAACAAGCTCTTAAATTAACTATGAAAATGCAGGGCGTCAAACTGAACATTTTATGTTCCTTTCTTCGCGTTCAGCGACTTTATTATCTTTATATCCCAACGGAGAAATGTTCTCGCTGCACGCGCCCGTCGCTCGTTTGCGCATTATTAGTACACTTCGTTCCCCCTGATTAAGATTTTAAAATTCGAGGAAATTTCAACTACGCGAAAAGACTTCGAACAAAATTGCAAAATATAATACTCACTCTGCAGATACTTTAGGACTAATATATTAGGTTGTCCCGAAAGTTTCTTTCGCGAGTTGCGCTCAATTATTTTATGTGGTCGTGTTTATATAAATAGACAATCTAATTTCATAGATATTCATGTTGTAACAGTAATGGAGCAAAATGAATCGTATACAATTCAATAATATAACATTAGACATAAAATATAGTGCATGTATTACTTATTAATAAAGCGAAAGAAACTTTTGGGACAACCTAATATATTGAGAGGAGTTGGTGGAAAATGTAATTCAACCGTGTGGTATTTGCTACTGAATATTATTCCTTGAAATATTGTGTACCCATATCTAGGTACGAAATTTAAATTTCAATAAGGTACATTCGAGCGGTCAGTGTTTATTTTAACGCTGACAGAGTACATTTATAATAATCGAATTAAAGTAGAGTGTGCTTTAAAAACCGTAGTCGTCGATGTAGATCACCACTGCGGATGGTGGGAGGTGGATCGTGCGATTGGTGGCGAGGGCCCTGTATCGATAAACAAACAAATTATTTAAATCTATTACTACGAGACAACCTTTACAATCAAGCACGTCGTCTACGATTAATCATGCATCTGTAAAATATATTTTAAATTTAAAAATTCTACGAAGGTAGGAGGAAATTAAATTTCCTTAAACTTGATTATTAATTTAAGAAATTTCCAGTGGCGACTGATAAGAGGTTATCGGTTCCAGGGAGATGCAGGCAACTGCCAAGCACTATTTTACAGGAATTCGCATGAAATTGATTAAATGAGCTTGATTGAAAGAACTTGATCGACTAGGTTAAAGCTCTAGACTTACTTGGGTGCCGCTTTGTATTCAGGCGAAGAATAATACAAACGCATTGGCTTAGCATGTTGCGACCTGGTGTTGAATACAGACATGTTCACCTTTGTTCTCTTGTCTCCAACGTTCACTGCTGCGTAAACAGCTCCGTCGTAGTCGGACTTCCTAAAAAAGAGACAGTAAATGCTTCAAATAATTGTATCTCGATCATGTATTCATTCACGCTCCTCGTGGAACAAAATTTAAGAAATTCATTTCGAAATCGTCGCCTCACCTGGCTATAAGCAAAACATTATCTGTCGTCATAGTTATCAGTTGTCCATTCTTGACCATCGAAGTCTTCCTCAGCTTCGCGAGTGCCAGGTACATGTTGTAGTCGGAGCCAGGGTTTTTCCTCTCCGATTCAACATTGACGGTCTTGTAATTCGGGTTAATTGGAAGCCAGGTTTTGTTGTTCGTGGAGAATCCTGTGACGATTGAAATCGTGGATCGAGATTAGGTCAGTCTTTTTATGGACGCAAAATCGGAACGTTTTTGTTTAAATACACTTTGATAGAGCTCATACATTTTAAAGACCTCGAGCAACAATAATATCAACCCTTTGCACTCGAGCGGCGTCGATACAGCGCCCGGCCGATTTGAACTGTCAACTCGAGCGGCGCTGTTGCGGCGCCCGAGTGATTCGAAGTCTTAAATGGTGGCGTAAGCTTTTTTGGGGGCATGGAAATTTCCCTGATTAATTTATACATTTTGTATAAACTAGAAAATACCAAAAAAGAGGAAAAACCACTGAGCCATCTGCGATTTCTGGAAACACTTGTCGAACAATTAAGAAGATTATATCGCCAGCAACGAGAGCAAGCGTCTACAGCCGGCGACTGACTTGCAACAGAACGCTGTAATGTAACTGCTCGGCACGAATTGTACGGTTCGGCACCAGCGTTACATTACAAGGTCGTTTTTGGAATCACGAATACTCGCTTCGAACTCTCGGCTGAATTCTCTCTCAATGCTTCTTACTCAATTCAGTGAAAAGTAGATGATCAAAGAGGTTCGTCAAAAAACCGACAGACCAGTGGAGCACGGTCGAGCGCGAACCAAGCGCAAGACCGGCTCGGTTCGTTGCTCGCTAGTCCATCCAGACAGCGAATGCTCGCGTTACATTACAATGTTCTGTTGCAAGTCAGTCGCCGGCTTACGTCGCATTCCGATGATATCCGACTAAACGAGAAGCTTCACGTAATACTAAAAGGGCCAAAAAGGGACTGCAAGGTTTGTTCTGACTGTAACACGCCTGGAGATAGGCGGGAAATTTCGTAATACGTGTCTTGACAAACCTAGGATGCATCTTGGATATTGTTTTCCAAAATATCACACCAAAACTAATTACAGAGTGTAATATTTATCGAAGTTTGTTGTTTTCGACATATGAATGAATAAACTGGTGGAATTTTATTATTTGTATATGTTTGTTCGTTTATAACAATTTTTAAATTACTTGTAAAGCGTTTGCCGAATTTGGCCGAAATCGTCTGGAGTTGCTGGTGCGCGCAAGCGAAAAAGGCCTCGAGTGCAAAGGGTTAACACACCAAAAAATCTATTTTCATGATATTCTATTGACATTTTGATGTTTCTAGTAACACTAAAATATAATCTTTGTAAATATCGTGATCTCACCAGCAGAGGTTGACCTGTCCCATTGGAAGGGGGTCCTCTCAGGATCCCTAGAGGTCGACTTGTATCCATCTTTGCCAGCGGCGCATCCCAGGGGATCCACTGTGTCTTCCCACGAGATCGGACCGTCTGTCATTCCGATCTCATCACCGTTGTACGTTACAGCGACACCAGGCAACAACTGCGTCATCACGGTGGCCGCGCGAGCTATCTGTGGTCCCAGCCGACTTTTCATCCTCGGGTTATCGTGATTTCCAGCCTGAAAAAAAATGAATTTTCACGTTCGCTCGCCTCTGTTGCTATTTATCCACGCGAAATTATATGCTGGTCACAATAGGGGATTTTCGGAATAATTCTTCATCGTGAAAAATTCAGAGAATTCAATGAATTCAAGGTCAAGGAATTCAACAAAATTCAAAGCATTCCAAGAATTCAAGTCTTCAAGACATTCAAAGAATGCAATTCAAAGAATTCAAGGCGTTCAAAGAATGCTAGGAATTCAAAGCATTCAAGACATTCAAAGAAATCGAGCCACTCAAAGAATGCAAGAATGCAATTCAAAGAATTCAAGGCGTTCAAAAAATGCTAGGAATTCAAAGCATTCAAGTCATTCAAAGAACTCGAGGCACTCAATAAATTCAAATAAATCAAATAATTCAAGGAATTCAAGGCAATCAAGGAATTCAACTTACCACCCAGTTAGCAACGCTACCCTCCGGCATACCTTCCATCCACCGATCGATTATTCTCTTCAGATCGCTCGCATTCGAGTTCTTATGTATATCCGTGATCAATTGGAAATTGAAGGGCATGTCGGCACCCGCATCGTAATACTTCATGGTACTGGTCCAGTTTGTGTAAGCTTCGATCATTATGATCTTGGTCTCGTTGAACTTGTCGAGTACCCGCTTCCAACTACTTATGATGTCGTAGGTCTCCGGCTGATCCTTCGTCTTGCTTCTGTCGACGTAATTCATATCCAAGGTATTGTTGGTCAGTCCTGTAAGTGGTTCGTCTTCGTATGACGGATCCTCGATCAGGTAGGCGGCAGAGTCGATCCTGAAGCCATCCACGCCACGGCTCGCATACCATTCCAGAATGTCCTGAGACGATGACGATTATCAAATTAATATTAGGAAATATGATTCAATTGACAAAAACATAATTATTAGGCTGTCCCCAAAGTTTTTTTCACTTTATTAATAAGTAATACATGCACATTTTATGTTTTGATACATTACTGAATTATGCACGATTCATTTTGCTCCATTACTGTTACAACATCGATATCTATGAAATTAGATTGTTTATTTATATAAATACTGCCACGTAAAATAATTGAGTGCAACACGCGAAAGAAACTTTCGAGACAACCTAATATACGAAATAGTGCAAATACCACACAAGTATCTTCTGAAAATTGCATAAACACGATCCATGATTCAGAATAATATAATCTATAACCTAAAATAATAAATGCGTGAAACAACTCTACTCTACTCTACGATCTATTTTGTTAATTAAAAATATCTGTTGGATCAAGATTTTTCGCTTGAATCGAACAATAAATACGATTAAGACAAATGAAATACCACACACCATGTACGATACAAATTGTGTGACTGATTATTGCACATCGATTATGTCTCTGAATTTTTCGTTTATGTATCAACACCTAAATTTGACGAATCCCCCTTCAAAGCAGATTTACTTCCTCCAAGTTCGTTCGATCGATGTCAACGTTAATGTAACTAGAAACGTAATGTGTTCGAGCTGCATTTGTTTACAGCTTGTTAGCTATTCCACAAATGTAATCCGGTATATGTGCAACCGTCCTGCGACGGAGTTGCGATGAAAAGGAAATCCTATATCAATGGTTTCGACGGCGTACAGGGAAATTCAATTGATCGCGGAGGGTTGCTGTTCTCCTTCGAGTTTCCACGAGCTTCGCAATATGTTCACGATGGCGATGCTAATTGAAAATGATTTGTCGTTAAGCATTCGTCGCTCCTTGACGTGATTGACTCGTTCTGCGACGTGCGAGTCGACTGGTGGTATCATTAATATACAGATGGATAAATGGTAGTCAATCATAATTGATGATGAATGCATAGACACGTGAACAATTGCTATTTTCGATGTTACGAGGATCATTATGGCCAGTTGAAATCGTATGCTTGTTAATCCATGCCAATTTTCAAATATATTCAATGCTGAATATATTAAGGGAGTATTATAGTCTAGAAACTTCAACAATTCGATTTTTTCTCTTTTACATTTTCTTATCATTTGAGGTTTTGAGAAAGTGCCTCTAAAATATTAAGTTGAAATTCGTAGAACTCTCAGAGTTACAGAGGCTTAAAGGTTGTTCACCAGTATTAGTGCTAAATGTATAGCAAACTTTAAATGCGTTCTTCTCGAAACGACATTTTTCAAGTCGGCCGCACGTTTCTCTCAAAAACTATTGGACCGACTGACTTCTGGTTTTACACACATTTCGAGGGCACCATCACCTATGGTCTGAACTAGAATTATACCGACAGCTTGAATATTTTAGCCCTGCTCTCATATTGTAGTTGACAATTTTCCGGGAAAATTAAACCTTAATTTTCAAACAGCTGTGATTCCGATAAAAAATTTAGTACTTACTTAATTCTAGTTCAGACGATAACTACATTCATATAGATTGAAAAAAAAATTTGTCTTTCTGTCTAAGACAACTAGAACCGCCACAGCCTGTGCGCCCGATTGAACGAGCGTCTCACGCCACAATCTGCATAACAGCGCATACCTTGTACAGATTTCAATGAAGTATTTCATAAAAATTTGTGTTGTTAGTTGAAACGTGTTTTATTATGCATAAAAAACCCTAGTACTGTAAGTTTGATAGTTCTCGCAAAATTAATTCCTAAAAATTACTGAAAAAACAAACTTCTAGACGATAATACCCCCTTAAGAAATATAAGTTCAGAATTAATTCTAGATGATATACCATCAAAACATAATATATTGTATATATTATTGAGAATAATATACGGTATAATATTAAAACAATTACGTAATGTAATAATATCAGACATAATATATCACATATATTATTGATATTATTGAGAATTAATTAAAATATTAATCATCTACATACTGAACTTCCCTTTCAATATATTACATACATTACGTCTCTCAATAACTATATTCAGTATTGATTATATTTAAAAAAAATTGCACTCCACTCATTATCGGTATACAGTGGGTGTAGAATGTATTCGTGCACCAATCAATTTACCAAAAAACTTTTGTGTGAAATTGTAGTTTCTTAACTTCTTTTTTTGTAATGAATGATAATACATGTTACATATTGTCGGAAGTCTGTAAGGTAGATATAGTCCAAACAACATTTACTAGTTAATATAATTTGTGAAATTAACAAAAAAATGCGAAAAGTAGGTAAAAGTATAGAAGCAATAAGAATTTTACGATTCCTATGACGAACCATTTACAGTAGAGTTTGTAAAGTAAACACATTAGTTTATTGCTCCATACGAATTAGAAAACATCAAATTTCCAGTAAAGTACTGTTAAACAGTTGTCCGAATACTTATTGCTTCAACATTTCTATCGATTAATTGTTTTTTTTCTTGTTAATTTCGCAACTTACATAAATAGCTATTTTTTTTTTGCAATCTATCCATTCTAGAGATTTCCGAGAATATATAGAATGTCATTGTTTCTAAAAAAATAAGTTAATAAATTACAATTTTACACAGTCTTTTTGGAAATTGATCGGTGTACGAATACTTTCTACACCCACTGTATATCATTTTTCACCATGAAAAACATGAAAACATCCGCGATTTCTCCAACGGCGCGTTACCCAAGCCCTTCAAGTTTTACGAAACTGACATCCCCGATACCAATTGGAACGTTATCTGATTACGAGTTTAACCAGCCGCACAATTGCTGGCGATTCAATGGAACCTGTTGAGACAACTCCGATTGACGAGATAACGCGATCAGATATCGGTGGTTTTCGTCCGTGGAATTCGATCAGAATCGATCTTGTTTAAACGAAGTTATACACGGAGGAGGGAGGGGAATATCATCGTCCTCCCAAAATGTAATTTGTCATCGATATAATTCGATGCGACTCTAGCCTAATTATGACTGGAGGTGCCCCTACGAGCTCTATTGGAGGTTCATTGTCAGATCGGGGGGGGGGGGGGAGGAGGAGGAGGAGGTTGTAATTCGATTCTGGAGAAAATTCTGTTTGCTGGTACTGCGACAAGACTGGAATTACTCGATGAACATGCGTGACCGAGCTGAATTTACGCTGTTGTGTACTTTAGAAATTGTCCCCGCTCCTCTGAAAATACAGAGGTGATACGACATCGTTGACGTGTAGGCGACACGTGAATCCAATAACTTGAAAGTTCTCACGTGGCGTTCAATCGTTCGATATACACAAAAATGTTGTTGTATTATGTCATGTATCGTTTAAGAAACATGATCCCCTACTTGTTGTAGCCAAAGAATATTATACAATAATGATAATACAAAGCATGCGACAGGTCATTGCAGCAGACTTGATGCGATTTATTTATTACATGACACAATTCTCCTTGTTTTTTGTATTCATACTTTAGAAACGGATCAGGACTAATGCGATGATCCTACAACAAATGCATGTACAATATATATTATATATATTATTATTATTATATATAATATA